TTTTTTAAAAAAAAATTTTTTATTAGTTTTCCAAACATGTAGTATAAACAAACAACAAAACAAAACAAAACATACACACAAATAAACATGTACAATTTCATAAACTCATTCTCCTTCACCTTGTTTCCCGGACTTCCCCATACCTCCCTTTTTCTGCATCCTTATTTTTCCCTTTTAACAGCAACCCTTCATTTCATTATTAATTTATCTTCATTATAGCCCCTTTAAATTTATGATATACAGCTGCAATTCTCTATTTCTTAATACCATAACATCTCAGCACTCTTCAATTTTACAACAGTTTTTCAGATATACTTTAAATTTCTTCCAATCTTCTTCCACTGTCTCTTTCCCCTGGTCACGGATTCTGCCGGTCATCTCAGCCATTCCCATGTAGTCAATCACCTTCGCTTGCCATTCTTCCAGAGTGGGTAGCTGCTGCGTCTTCCAATACTTTGCCAGAAGAATCCTTGCTGCTGTAGTGGCATACATAAAAAAAGTTCTGTCCTTCCTTGACACCAATTGGCCCACCATGCCCAGGAGAAAAGCCTCTGGTTTTTTAGGAAATGTCCATTTAAGGACCTTTTTGATTTCATTATAGATCATTTTCTACTTTTTCTTTCCCATCTGCCATAACACTTAAACAATAGAAGAACCAAGGTCAATCCCAGTTACACAGTTTCTGTTTACAAGTGGAAAATTCCCCTTGTAACAATTTCTGAAGCTCCCTCTAGGGGGAAACAGTTGCAATAGTCCAAAAAAGAAAACACCTTTTAAAACTCCAACCAAGAAAAATAAACAGTTCCACTTTTTTGTTACTTTCCAATTACTTTCTCTCCTTTTTGCGAGCAGAAGAGGATAACTGATCACAATGTATCTCTCTTGCTGAGCTAACTGTCAGCAAGCCATCTATTGACAGTTAGAACGCAGTTCAAAGCACGGCAGTCTTTGTCTGTTGGCAGCCCGTTCCCAAGTTTGAGCGGTGGATTTTAAGTTCTTTCCCTCTCTCTTGCAGGTATAAACAGTCCAAAACTCCCCCCTCCTTCCCTGCTTCCTAGGAAGGGGGTTCAAAACTTTATCGTGTTAGAAATTCAGTCCTTTCCAAACGAATGCCCAAAGCTTTAACTTGTAGTCTCTTTGCTTTGATCTATTTACAAAAGCGGAAGGCGGACTTCCTGTTTGGACCTCCCCGCTTCGGTATCAAATTAAGTCCTCTTTCTCCTTTTTAAATATCTCCAATTTCCCCTACTCACGGGTAGATGCTTTTAAATCCGAATTTGTCACAGGAAGAAGTCAGCGCTCTTCGGTAACGGCTGTGCGGCTTCACTCCGAGGAAGAAGCAGACGATTCACAGCACCGCGCCACTCACCCTGCTTCGCTCCGGAACCCGTAGAAAGGATTCCCCGTGAATTGGGGGGCGCAAAAGGTGCCCGCCGAATCCCACGCTCACAGGCTTCACCCGCCTGTGATTTTTGGAGGGTCTCCGCTTTCGCCGCAGCGGTATGACCCGATTTCCTTGCAGCAAATCCCTCCAGATCAGAAGGATTCCGCCATTACTGATGGCGCTAACCCGGAAGTCCGTAAACATATATATTCTCATCCTTTAGTTATTGCAAGGAGTTAGACCGCTTCCTTTGGCTTCATTAAGTGAAATTAGTAGGAAGGTCCCACATGGTTTTATGAGCCTCCTTGCCTCTTCAAACACACCACCAGTTAATCAAACTGGCAGCGCTCACAACGCTTGGTTGACTGGGTACCCCTTTATATATGCATGCGTTGCTGTTGTTGCTTTTTTGTTGTTTTTTTCTTTTTGGGGTGTCTGGGATAGAGAAGGGAGAAAGAGAGGGGTTGATTAGGACAGTGTTTCCCAAACTTTTTTGGGCAACGGCACACCTGTTTACTGAAAAAAAATCTCACGGCACACCACCATTAAAGCCCCGCCCCGTGACGTCAGCGCGCAGCGTCACGCTGGGAGGGACGCACGAAAGTGAAAGTTTTTTCCCTCCCCCTTGCCGGGGAACCTCCAAGCTTTGGGAGTGGGAGGAGGCAGCAGAGCGAGGGACTGAGGGACGGCGGCAACTGAGGCGGCGGCGGCTGTTGTGGTGGTGGCGGCGATAGCGGGCGGAGGAGGGGGCGGCGGCGGGGCTTGAGGAGCCGTCGCCGGGAGTTGCTGCTGCTGTTGTTGCTGCTGCTGCCCGGACATGCCGGCCTCCTCCTCCTCCGCTGTCTCGCGCTCCTCCCTTTTGCACGCGCTGCCCCGCCGCTCGGCACCACCACCGCGGAGCCGCCCCCGGCTCGACGCGGATCCTCGCCGCCGCCGCCTCTCACCGCCCGACTCGCCCGCCTCCCTCCCACGGCACACCAGCCAATGTCTCACGGCACAGTAGTGTGCCGCGGAACACCGGTTGGGAAACACTGGATTAGGATTTGGGTAACTTGTACAGGGGGCTATTTAGGGTTTTCCTTTTCCTTGTTGCTTGGCAACTTCCTAGTGGTTTATTGAGCTCTAGCTATCTAGTTACCTCTCGTTCCTTTCCTTATTTACTATTCCAAATCTTGGGGTTCCTTTCCACTCTGCCAAATCCTGCCCAATTCCTCATGGGCTATGCCTCCTGGCAACCTCCTACCTATCGTCACAATCTCAGGAAAAGGGGCCCTACTGGACGCCCGTGCCGTGCGGTGCCAGATTGAGTGATCCCTGGATAGAGTTTTGAACCGAAAATCCCCCTTGCTTTTGGAAGCGGGCTCATGCACGAGACACGTGTTACGTGGCACCGACCAGTGCAGCTGGGATTGAGACAGAAAGCCAGACCCCTTCCTGCCCCCTTGCTGGGCGCTAGGGAAGTTCGGAAAGAGAACTCCAACCCCTTGTTTTCAAATGAGATGCCTGTTGCGGTGAGTTGGCTCTTTTTCAAGCCGGTTCTCTCTGTCTTACTTTTGGGCTCTCAGTTGGGGTGGCTGGCTGGAGATATTGAGATAAAGAGATAGAGCTCAGAACCCCCCTTTGGGTTGAGCAGCAGTCCATGGTCTCTCTCACTAACCGGACCAAGAGAAAGGTAAGAATGAGTGATAGAGAGGAGGGCAGAGAATTCAGTTGCCAGGAGACTACCACCCCCTTCCCACCAGTGCACTGGAATTTTCCTTATACTCACGCATCTTCAATTATGATCCCGGGATCGATGAATAAGCCGGCTGGATCCCTCTTTGCTCCCCGGCTGAACTCCTTGGGCTTTTCGATTACCACCCGGAAGATGGCCGGGGGTCCAAAGGATCTTCCCAGGCAAAATGGCCCGGTGCCGGCTGAAGATTTCAGGGCCCCCGGTCAGCAACACAGGAGAACCGCAAAGTCCCTGTTCGGGCGCCATCTGTTATGGTAAAATCTGGGTGCGAGGCTGCTCTGCCACCCAGCTCGTCAGACTAAGTCCGCGGGTCCCTGCGGAGGAAAATGAGCTCAGCCGGAGACAGGAGCAACCTGCAGAAGATCCAAGTTTATTGCGCAACAGGTTCAAGGCGAGATTGAACAGCGAGAAAGGGGTGACATGAACTTTTGAAACTTCCCTCCATGTCCCAGAATACAGTGCAAAATACATCCCAGTTACATCATGAATACATTAAGAAGAGGTTGGGTTACACAGGATTAACATATGGAAGAGATTAACATATGGAGGAGGGAGGGGGGAATATGCAGAGCTGGAGATATGCGCAGATAAGCACATCCTGAGTACCGGTGATGAGAAGACAATGGTCCATGTACTGGCATTGCCTGGAGGAAAGGCTTGGCAGAGTGATTTGACAGGATTAGGGTCTTGACACCTTGCTTGAGGGATTATGGAGGACAGGGGAGGTGTCATGGAGTCCTAGAGAAATTGAGCAAATTGGCACCGAAAGCAAGAAAATCGGTGTTACAGTTGATTTTCTATGAATTTCATAGATTTTATTCCCTTTTGACATTGACAATTGGACTCGGAAATAGATGGATATATTGTAGCGAAGAAGAAGGTGAAGAAGACATCCCCCCTCCATATCATACCCCCTTCCCCATAATAAATTTTCCAACAACTTCATCGATACATGACATGGGGTTTCCCCCCCTTTTCCCACAATACATTTTTCAACAGCATCATAGATGCATCACAAATATGTCACAAAGTAGGAGTCTTTGGCATTTAGAAACATGAGCCCGTCACCCACCCCGTCAAGAACCCCAGTTTTCAAAACCTCTTCCCCAAAGAACGTAATAGTATTTACTCCCCCCCCCCTCAGCTGCAAGGTTTTCCTGCCCTTCTCCCTTCAAAGTATCAGGATTCAACCCGCCATCCCGATGGATTTCTGCCTGGGGCATGTGCTGCCCTTGATCGCCTCCTGCCTCCTAAGGGATTATGGAGTCAGGGGGAGCCCTGGATCCCCCAATCCCAGAGGAGTCATTAGCCATTGGAACCAAGGAAACCGGTCAAACCGTTGAATTTTGGCGATTATTTGACGTTTCTTCAGCTTTCTATAATGGATAGTCGAGGAAACAGTCCCGATTCATGGAATCCGCTTCTGGCTCCAATTCTATAGGCTGCTTTTCTGAGCCTCTTGGCTGTTGTGCCTGGACGGGGCCTGTGTCCACGGTCCTTGTACTGGCCTGAGTCAGAGGCTGGGGTGGGGAGCTGGGATTTGGGGGGGGGGGTCTTTTAGCTGCCCCCCTCCATTCCTGGTTTGAACAGCGCCAAGACCTAAAACACGGAGGGATCTAAGCTCGTGGGGTGGGGTGGGGGAGGATGTTGCACTTGTGGGGGGGGACCCCTCTTTGCAGCTGGATCTCCGGGATCAGCCCCTTCCCCGCTCTCCTGATCCAGAAGGAAGACGGTAGAGGGGAAACCTTCCTGCCCCCCCTCAATTCTTTCCCCCCCCCTCCCGGCACCTCCTCCTCTCACCCCGCCCCCACAAGCCCAGATCCCGCCCCCAAACATCCCACCCCTTCCTCCTCCTCCTCCAATCCGGCTCTTCTGTCCCAGGAATGGGGGGGGGGGTGAGCCCCCTCCCACCCTGCCTTCTTCTCCAGGACGTGGAGCTTCCACTCCGGATTGCTGCTCTGCCCCGTAGATCGGGGGGCGGGGCGGCTTTCGATGCTGCAGGAAAGGAAAGGAGAATCGGGAGCGAGGACAAAGAGGTAAAGGGGTCGCGGGGGGAGGGAGAGGGGAGAAAAGGACCCAAAGACCCCTCCAGCTCCCCCAAGCGCCTTCCGTGGGGCCTGGATCCCGGCACGCCTGCTGCGAAGGGGCGGAGATGGGGCGCCCACCCACGAGGACTCCCTGGCCCCGTTCCCCCCACGCAGGCATCCCTGGGGCGCGGAGAGAAGCCAGGATAGAGACCCCCTGTCCCCTCCCCTGCTCCCGTTGGGGGCAATAGGGACGGAGAGATGGGTCGCGCCTGGCAAGGGGTGAGCCAAGGGGGCGTCTGGGTGCAGGGGAGTCTCCGGGAGAAAGGGAGGGGGTCGGGGAAGGAGAGAGAGAAGGGAGGGGCATCCTCGAGTCAGAGAAGCGCAGCATTGGTGGGGGGGGGGGAGATAGGAAGACCAGTCTTTGGGGAGAAGTCTCCCTCGTGGCTTCCTTGGGGACTCTCCGGAGGGGCCGCCTTGGCTTCTCCCTCCCGCCCAGGGCGACCAGAGAGGGATCCCTGGAAAGTGGGGGGGGGGGGTCCAGTCCCCGTCCCTCGCCTTCCTGCAAGTTCCGTCCTCTTCCCACCCCATAAGTCCCTGCCCTGTCCAGACACAGCGATTCTGCCCAGTCCAACCATTGGTCCCCTGGAGAGGAGAGGAAATCCCGAGAGGAAGAGGGGAGGGGGGAGGCCTTCTCAGAAGCGGCTCTTGGTTTCCGCAATCCCACCCAGGAAGCAGCCAGAAACCTTTTCCTCTCTCTCAGGCTGCCATCTTTAAGTGTCCTTTCTTGAGGATGTGGATAAAGTACACCTGTCCTCAGAAACGGGTGCAGAGTCCATGAAATGGAAGTTGCACCTCAAAAGCATTTCTGTTCCTCTTATTCTTTGTAGACAATGTCAGAGTGACTGACAAGCTGAGATACAATCCATCATCATCCTATGACAGCGACTGCATGAATCTTCCCAGTCAAAGGACCCATTTTCTTGATAGACAGTGCCTGTGGCTGGAGGCTCTACACACCGGGTTTGCCTGTGGAGGCCAGAGACTGCCAGTATTAGCACAGGTGAGGTGTGTGACCTTCCCAAATTTACAGACTGTGTGTGAATGAGATTTCCTGGGTGGGATTATAGTTTACGGCAACCCTGTGATTTTCTCCACCCATAACATTTCTTGAGCTAATATTGCAGTACAAATTCCAAAATAACTACAAAAAATCACAAGATGATAATAATAATAGTACAGTGATACCTCAGGTTAAGAACTGAATTCGTTCTGGAGGTCCGTTCTTAACCTGAAAGTGTTCTTAACCTGTGGTACCACTTTAGCTAATGGGGCCTCCTGCTGCCACCGCACGATTTCTGTTCTCATCCTGAAGCAAAGTTCTTAACCCAAGGTTCTATTTCTGGGTTAGCAGCGTCTGTAACCTGAAGCATCTGTAACCTGAGGTACCACTCTAGAAGTTCTAGTATTAGTATTTCCCCCCCAGCCACTCTGGGCAGCTTACAGTACATATAGGTAAAGGTAAAGGGACCCCTCACCATTAGGTCCAGTCGTGGCCGACTCTGGGGTTGCGGCGCTCATCTCGCTTTATTGGCCGAGGGAACCATCGTACAGCTTCCGGGTCATGTGGCCAGCATGACTAAGCCGCTTCTGGTGAACCAGAGCAGCGCACAGAAATGCCGTTTACCTTCCCACCGGAGCAGTACCTATTTATCTACTTGCAATTTGATGTGCTTTCGAACTGCTAGGTTGGCAGGAGCAGGGACCGAGCAACGGGAGCCCACCCCGTCATAGGGATTCGAACCCCCGACCTTCTGATCAGGAAGTCCTAGGCTCTATGGTTTAACCCACAACGACACCAGCGTCCCTACAGTACATATAAAAAGGTAAAGGTACCCCTGCTCGTACGGGCCAGTCTTGCCAGAC